ACTTCTTGGCCGTTAAGGGTCCGCCGAGTCCACCAGTGGGAGCCAGGCTGACAGCGTCCTCCGTCGTCTCCTCGCCATTCCACACCACCTTCCACCCGCGAGGGCAAAGCTCCAAACTCTGCCTGCCACTGCTCCGTGCCTTTAGTGTTTAGCTGCCATCAACTGGACCCTCTCTCTTCTCCTGCTGTCGCGCCCTTCCGCCAATTGCCACCCCACGGCTCTCACTGCCTTTGCCAGCTATGTTTCCCTTTTCCGACCAACAACAAGGGAGGCCTGATTGATTGCCGTCCTCTATGCCCTCCAGGTGTATCTAATTAGTTAGGGAAAGCAGGGGGGAGGAGTCTCTCCAGAAGAAGTCCCAATAAATACAGTAAAAGCATGCAAAAAAAGAAAAATACTCTTATCATCAAACACAACAAAGCATGCAACAACCAGTAAAGAAAAATCCTTCTGCCCTAGATGGCAGTACCAGGTACTAAGATAGTACCTGCTCAGCCAGAGTTCCTAGCAGGTACTAACATGTGACGTTCTCAGACTGCATGCCACAGACTGGCTGGTCAGTAGTTTCACTCGATTGTGAGAGCATCTCATTCAGGAAAATCAAAACCGCCTGGTATATCTTTGCCACGAAGTCCACTTTTGTTGTATCGTTCATTAATTACATCGTGGGATGCTAGGACGTTTCTATGACAATGACCACGCACATTAGGAGGTACTCAATTGTAATGGAAAACCAGTCGATCCGAGTAGCTAATATTGGAAAAGGGGCTTAAGGCGCTCCTTATAGCTAAGGGGAAACTACAATGAGAGCTCAGTGTCCCTTCCTATGAAAAATCTCTTTAATGTTACACATAAAGTATTTGTTTTTGCTTTTATTGACATTTATTTGAAAAGAGACCATGTACATTATTAACACAAATGCCCCCCATTGGATGCATTGTACCAGAGTTAGCTTAAAGCTAACTCTGCTTTAAGAGTTAGCTTAAAGCTAACTCTGCCATCCCTTGGTGGGTTACATGAAGATGATAACAAAAATGTCAAATCAAAAGTATATTGCTGACTACATTTTTAAAGTAGAAATTCACATATCACATATTATATAACATGCTGCTATTGAGAAGAATTTAAACATTCACTGTGTTTGAGTTTTCTGCCAGCATTTTAGTTCACACTTGCATTAGAGGTTAAAGCTCAAACCTGAAGCCACCTTTTCTCTGTTCTAGCCACATTTTGTGATTTATGCCAGCAGCACTTTTCCCATAAAAACCTGGTCTTGTTCAGCTATAATTTGATGGCTTAAAATAAAACCTTGGATCAGTCCTTTGAAGCCATCCCTGTGTCCATTTTGGCAAAGCTGTAGCTGTAAATAATGTAGTTTGCAGCAGCGGAGCCTAGTGAGCCCCCATTTACTGGCCGAACATTTGATAGATGGCAGTTTTCGCAGGCTAAAAGGGCCAGATCACTCCATCGTTCTTTCTTTTTCAATCTCTTGCCGTCTTTCTCTCTCCCACTGCTTTCCTCCTCGCTCTCATGTCATCGCTCACTCTGTCCGCTCCTCTCTTGCTTTTTGATCCTCTCAGACTCTACCTCCTTTCCTTGCTCTACACATCTTGTTCTCTCTCTGTCTCATTCTCCTATTTTTGGTCCCAGCTGCATCAATAATTCATATCTTTGCATGGACTTTCTGACTTGAGAGCTATCAACAAGAGCTATCAGGGTCATCATGTTACACCTGTGACATACGCTGTCCCACATGAGGATGCATGCACACACACACACACACACACACACACACACATACAGTTAAACACAAATGGACGATAGTGCACACATTTAGTGACGCAAGAGAAGGCAGTCAGGTACTCAAGTCACGTTTTTGATCACATGAATGCAGCAAAAAAGATAATCAGAAACAGTGATGATAAATTAATGAGCAGAGAAACTCAGTTTTGGACTAAGGCATCAAACTCACCTCACAGGCTTCAGTGTCTTATTGAAATAAAGCCTTGTGCACTGTGTCACCAAAACACATCCTCCTTGTTGTGATTTGAACATGCCTGATGCTCACTGTTCATTTCTGTGAAAGAGTCAACAACTGGTGAGTTATTGGGGAACGGTGACATATTGTAAGATAGTCACAGGCTGACCTGGGAGTATAATGCCAAACAAGTGTGTACTTTCTCAAACTTTGCTTGAAGATAGCAAGACACAGTGCATGCTAGATAATTTCTTACACTGCTGTCACCAAAGCTTCAAATCTGCCTCACGGGGTAATCTAGGGCTACTATTTTTGGATTGACAGACAGTTTTCACGGCTGGATGCTGGGCTGAGTTCCTGACTTCAGTGAACACAAGAAAAGGCTTATCTTATCTTGCAAGGCTACAAACATGTGATAAAATGTCTCTTTAATATTTTGAATAAAATCCATCAAATAGGGTGCAAATCAGCCTGCTAGACTTGCTGTTTGACATGAAGGTGCAAAATTTAGAAGGTGTGCATTCTTAATAATGGATTGGATTTATATAGCGCTTTTCAAGGCACCCAAAGCGCTTTACAATACCACTATTCATTCACTCACTCTCACATTCACACACTGGTGGAGGCAAGCTACGGTTGTAGCCACAGCTGCCCTGGGGCAGACTGACAGAAGCGAGGCTGCCATATCGCACCCCTCTGGCCAACACCAGTAGGCAAGTAGGGTAAAGTGTCTTGCCCAAGGACACAACGACCAGGACAGAGAGCCCGGGGATCGAACCGGCGACCTTCCGGTTACAGATACGCTTCCCAACCCCCTGAGCCACGGTCGCCTTCTTAGATCTACTCATCTCTCCCTTTTCTGCTGTAGGTTTGCTGACACATTCATGTGTGTCTCTCCAGCATAAGCCAGCTAACCATAGCAGCTCCCCTTGCTGTCAGGAGCCCTCTTTAATCTGAATTGACATTATGAGACCTTTGCTGAACAAAAAGCTGGACCTCACTTCAAATCTTCGTATAGCTAATCTCACCTTCTGATTTGACCATCTGTCTCTTAAAACTGTTTTAAGGTGATGAAACTGTCAGAAACTGTCACGGCCTGGGGGTTCAGCTGGTCGCTGATCAGCTGTCTCCCCCTCTTTTTCTCTAGTCCTCTCTCTCTCTCTCTTCTCCGCTTTCTCGCCAGGGCTGAACTCATTATGGGTTCACGCCCTTGGCCCACGGCCTCGGAGGAAGAAACACCTGTGCCTTATCAGTGTGGTATTTAAGAGGGGAAGCAACGGCTGTTCTTCGCTGGATCGTTGCGAGAATCGCGTCAGTGAAAGTCGAGCGCCCCAGCAAGTATTTTCCCATGCAGTGTATGTGTTCAGCATTTAACAAGCGTCTCTTTGTGTACAGATTCCCTGGACTGTTCCCCGGGTGTGCGAGTGGATTCGTGTCTGGATTGTGTGGAGTGAGACGAGTGTGTTCCCCTGGATTTTCCCCGGAGCCCTGCCCCCCTCATCTTTTGTACATAGCACTGCCTCATATCTGTGTATATACTCTCTTTGGACATTGTTCTGCAATAAATTTCCTTGTGTGCATCATCCCCGGAGTCCAGCGCGTGAGTCCACCCCGTACGTCGTGACAGAATCACAACAATGGGGAAAAAAGAAATTCAAATTAAATTCAAAGTGCAAAGAGAAAATTTGAAACAGAAAACAAACTCAGTTCTCCTGTGTTTAAGATGTTTTGTCAGCCCGTACATCCACCCCAACCTCCTCCCTAAGCAGACTTTGTGGTTCTATAACCCCTAGTTTTTCCTTCTCCCAGTTTCTATAGGCACTAATAAATCTAACAGTTGGTCCAGTGAACCCAGGATTAATATTATTGAAGGACAAGGTAAGAAGAAAAGGTGGCCAAACTTAAAATTGCCAATGCGGCAGATTTACCAAGCAAAGAAATTGCATAAAATTGCAGCAAAATAGTGTGTTAGCACAATCACCAAATAGTACTTATAGGTTTGCTTAGTTTTACAGGGGATTTACAAAAGTTGTGCTCTTTTCCAAACACAGGTGCAATCAGTTCATTTCAACATCAAGTGCAAAAAATAAGAATTGCTTTTTTTCTGTGGTAAAGATTGGTGCAATCAGCAGCAAACTGCGTGTCGCAAACATTAGTAAATCTTTTTGCGGGCTTCATTTAAATATTCTCCTCCCTGCAGTTTTGTGCTGTCACTTCATTCTCTTTGTAAATACCCACAGTATTTTTTTACACCAAACACCATCGGTGCAACGTGTTGGTAAATCTGTCCCGTAGTCAGTCAAGTAGTCTGCTAACACCTGCCGTGCAGAGATACTGGTAGACTTGACCTGAGGTGTCAGCCATTCTATGTTGGGCCATGAGCTAAATCAAGTATTTGTTCTCTGTGCCACTTGGTGTGTTTCACTGCCTATGTAGTCGATATGTTTGAGTTTGTTGCAGGACCTTGTGTTTTATGCAGTCAGACTTTCTAACCACATACTGTATGGGATAAAAGTTCCAGGCTTTCCATTCTTTTTTTCTGCCAAAAGCTCTGGAAGCTTTAACTTCTCTTAGCATGGTGTAGTCTAATCTCCAGCTTGCAATCTCCTAGCTGGCTGTCATCGAGTAGCGAATAATCATCAGTCTGAATCGTTTAATGTAAACACCAATATTCAATGCTCCATGCATGCAACCTGCAAGAGGGTGAGAGGGGCAGAGAGGGAAAGAGCAGCCACCAGGAATATCAGGACTTAAGGCTGCATGAGTTACAGCTCAGCACGGCTCAGCGAGTGAGTTACTGTTATGCAAGAGCTCAGTCAGCCCAGCTGGAGATCAGGGAGAGAGAGAGAGAGAGAGCACAAGCAAGTAAGCCGAGAGACGGCGAAGAGCAGGCTGGAGAGAAAACAGCAGCAAGTGAGCAGAGAGCAGGCAGATTACAGCTGGATCTACTACACATGCATACACGAACACACTTATATACACGCTGTCACGATCCTTTCTTCTGTCTCATGCCTCTATGCAGAGCAGCAGCATCATGAGAGGACACACAGAGGGAGTTTACCTCTCTTCACCAAGGGAGTAAGGAAAAGAAGAGAGGAGAGGAGAAGACTGAAGAAAGCAAGACAGAGAAAAAAGGAAAGAAAGAAGAAAACTTTCCTCTACAGGATCTTTCCTCCACGTTTTGAGACTTACCATGAGGCTCTGAATTCTCTTCCTCTCTCATAGCTCTTCTTCAGTAGCTGAACCCATGTCTCTAAAAGTGGCAGCCACCAGTAAAAGTGCCAGCACCCACCTCTTGATGCTGCTGTGCCCCCTGCTCTGTGCTCTGGTCCCTGCTGGAGGCTCCACACTGAGCCCCGAGGACTCGCGGAGCACTGCTGCCACGTTGCTGCCAGAGGACTTGACCGGCACAACAATACAACTCCAGCCAGACCTGCAGACTGAAGCCCAGACACCAACAGAGGCACAGACAGAAGCACAGACAGAGGCTCTGACAGATATGCAGACCCAGGGTGTCACCAGCAATTATACAGGTTGGTCTAATGCCTTACTTTTACTTTTACTTTTACTGTTTTCACTGCTTCAATATTTCAGTGTTCATGAGGGGCAAATGGTCATTCTTGCTTATTAGCAAAACATTTTGAGGAGGATGACTGAGTGCCAAAGCTGAATCTATGGAAAGACTGAAATCCCACACTGAATAAAACATTCATACAAATAAGACAAGCAGCAACAACAAACAGTGTATTAAAAAGTCAATTTAGTCTTTTTTTAAAGTCTAACCCTTTACACATAATCCGGGAAAATTGCAAAAACTGTGAAAAAAGGACCACAATAACAACATAACACAGTATGCATAAAAATCCAGGTAAATGGGGTATTTACAAAAACACTACAAAAAGATTTTTGCATATCTACCTCCTCTCCAGTCAACCTCACTATGGTTTTATCTGGTTCCTTACCTGAACTCAACCTAAGCACAAAAACCACAACAACAACAACAAAAATTCTCTAAGATCATTTTATTTAAGCAACACTGCATTTTATCTACAAAAGTGTCTTTGAAAGTACCTAAAAGTCCAGTGGACTTGTGTTTTATGCAGTGCTTTACTTGTGTTTTATCCTTTGCTTAAAGCTGGTTTGAAATTTTCAGCTTGAGCACCCATAGAAAAAAAGCAACTTACTCGCTCTGAAAGCTTCCACTTTGTCTTTCAGTTCACTCACAAGAAAGATGTAAAAAAACAGAAAGAAACCAAAACAAAATAGAACAGGCATGTTATCACTCTGGCTGTTATAGTGGATGAGTGTGCCTCTCAGTCATTTGGACTGTTTATGAAGGCCTGCCTTTACTTTTGATTTATAGTAAATCCTTCTGTTTGCAGTTAAGTAAGCTTGCAGTTTTGTAATCGTGCGAACATTTGGCAGCACAAGTACATGCAAGGACACATGTGTAAAAGGAGCAAGACCCCCGTACAGAACAGAGCAGGCTTCAGTCACAAGAAATCTGACAATAAGTCAGATAAACAATACATAAGCTGTGAAAGATGCGGCTTGCAGATTTGCAGCAAATGTTGGCAGGATAAAACAGCCTAAACCTCTCATGTCTAAATTATCATCAGTGACAACTGTAACCAATCAGGATAAGTTGTTCTCCCCAGTTAAGAAAATAATCATTGTCACATACATCAAAAACTACTGTTTCTTTCAATGAAAGTCTGTTATTGCTTTCTCCAAAACGTAGAACGGGTTAGGGTTAACAGCTATGATGGCTTAAGTCTCAGAGGATTACCACAGCCACTATGAGATTTGTTAATTGAATGCGTGGTAGTGTACCAGCTGAGCCATTAGCAGTTGTGGGCTGACATTAAGATTGGCAGATCTGCCCGGATTGTTTGGGGTGGACTTTGTGGCCTGCTGCAACTAACAGTGTGCTCAGTTTGATTATTAGCATGAGCTGGTATACAATAAGCAGATAGTACCCTCTTGTTTTGTGCAGGAAGCTGAAACTATTGTGTTTTTAGGGTCTAGTAGGTGCTTCCAAAACACGAGGCGTTTTGAGTGACACAATTTATATATAAGTCATTTAAATGCAATCCAGTTAGCCACGTAAATGGCAGCTCTAACGTTAGCGCTCACATTTACCAAATAAAAGACAGAAAAATGAACCAGCAGTAAAAACCTGACTTTATTAAACCTATGTGTAACAGAGGAAATACAATGTGATTTTGACTTGGCAGACCTAAATATAAAAATGTATAACAGTCATTTTTTTCAACTTGTTAGGCATCCATCACACTATGGAGCAATTTAGAGAGAAAAAACAAACAAGCTCAAACAGCATTAGAAGGAAATAAAAGGCTACAGCAAGAGATGCTGTTGGATTACATCACTGCAGAGCTCATATGAGCAACGTGGAAAGCAAACAGAGAAAAAAAATGGTAGCTTCCATGGGATCCCTGAAATGTTTGGTGTGAAACAACTTTAATATTATCAGTAAACGCAAATCCGTAAATGTAAGCAACAACTCTGTCATGCAAAGAGGAAACAAAGCCATTCAAAAAATAAATGCTGCTGTCTCCTGTCAGCTTTATATACAGTACTACAGTCTTATGAGATAAGTGGAAAAGTTTCATGTCCTGTGATTCTACTTGGAACTCATGGATGCCACAGCTTCTGTGGTAAAAAGGAGGTGAGGTCTAATAGTGCACCGAGCATGAGCAACACACATCTGCGAAGGCACTATCAATGAGTAGCAGACAATATGTTGCCATCCATTTTCAGGAAAAGGCTTGCCTATTTGAGCAAGATAATATCAAACCATAGTATGCACGTATTCCAAAAATATTATTGTAAATAAAAGAAAAAAAAACACAAAATACCAAGTTTCAACATTTCATATACGATGTAGTTGGATTATGATTTGGCAGACAGCTACACTTGCAGCATGTTTAAGTACAAACTGAGGGTTTCCATGTCTGGCTCTCTGATGCCTCTTTGGCAGCGGTCCCCAACCTTTTTTGCGCCACGGACCGGTTTATGCCCGACAATATTTTCTTTAAGGTGTCGCGGATAAATACAGCAAAATAAAACTAGTACCGGTACCGAAAAAAAGAAGATTTATTCATAACACATGTGAAAAGACCCAGGAAAACCGATAAAAACGATAACAAAATAACGCTAAAAACCCTGAAAACCATACATTACACACCCGAGCCTCAACTCTCGCGGCCCGGTACAGAAGTGTAAGTGGGTGCTGTGTGAGGCGGCAGGTGATGCAGTTAAAGAAAGTTCATTATGTCCACGCTGGAGCAGCTCATCCTGAAGAGAAAGCTGCAGCGCCACTCGCATGACTTCATCTCTACTGGAGCATGAGCTGCCTTTATCTTTTCCTCCTCTCCCACTGCCCATCTAGGCTATTCCTCTTTGCTTTTCTGTCTATAAGTCTCTCCGTTTCACCAATCCCTGTCTCCTCTGTTTCTCAGTTAATTGCTTTTTTTTATCCTCTGTCACTTGGTTTCTTTCTTCATCTCATCTCATTTCCCTTCTTTATTCTATTATCATTTGTATTTTTTCTTTTACTTTTTCCCACTGTCTCTCTCTCTTTTTGGTTTTCCACCATTTATTCTTACGTCCTCGCCCACCCTCCTCTCAGTCACACTGCCCATATCCTCACGTGTACACACAAACAGCCTACAGCAGATGACAAAATGCAAAGCTCACGTGGCTAATACACACATAATTCACTTTCTCTCTCTCTCACACACACACACACTAGAAATGGACGCACTCAGCCCAAACGACAGCAATCTTCTTAAAGGTTTAGAGAATAAACAACACAGTTGCTCATTTCACAACTGCAGCAATCTGTCTGACCAAGCAGGAATAAGCACTTCATGCTTTAATAACACACACACACACATACAGGTAATCAGCTGGCCTGCCACACTGCACCACATGGAGGGTTTTCACTTGACCAGAGGTTTTATGCAAGAGAGTGCCCAAAAATTTTAAATCCTAAACGTGTGATTAATGTTAACTCTCCTAAAAGCAACATGTGAGTGGTAGCTATGTTTATGACAAAATCAAATCCTAATCAGCTAGCTTTAAGAGATAAAAGCTGCTCTCCAGATTCTGTTTACTTACCCCCATCACTTTAAAGCTGTTTGATTTTTTACTTTAGGACCAGATTACAGCAGCAATGCAGTGTTTATGTTTAGTCATTATAGGTGTTTTAGTTTTGGCTTTGTAAGTATAAAGCCACTGTCAGGTGACAAAAATTAATTCAGTTAAATATAGGAGATGCAGAGCACTTTGATTCAGCAGCCAAATTAAAGGCAATGAACAAAGTCAAATAATAAAGTAAAAAGTAAAAAAAAATGTCTAGCATGATAAAGCATATAGTCGGTTCACCATGTGGATGTCACCCATTTCCTCTCCAAAGCGTGGTAGACAGCATGCAGAAGTTCCAGTACCAGTAGGGGGAGAAAATTTATTTAAAGCCAAAAAGTCATCCTTCTACTCCAGCTAGGCAGCTAACATGTAAAGTCTGTTTAAACACTTTCCCATAATTCTTTTCATGTAGGCTTGAAATGAAATATCTCCCTCTGCTGTTACTGCAACTTATCACACGTGGCCATTCGGCTAATATCACCCATTAGTCCTTGATATTTAGCTAACCATTTGTTCATTGCTTTTAACAAGTAATTCAGCCATCTGTAAATCTATTTCTCTAACCTAATTCTGCAGTTTTTACATTACATTTGGCTGACTAAATGTAACACATTTAGCTAACTCAATTTACTTTTCAGTAAACTGATCTATTTGTCCATTGCTTTTAGCTTGTTTAGGCAAGTGTTTCCCAACCACTGAGGCACGGCACATAGGTGTGCCATGAGAAATTATCAGGTATGCTGTGGAAGATTATCTAACCAACGATCAGCGTAACAGGCAGAACAACATTTTCTTCCACTGAAGGGCAGTACAACTACCTGCCCTAATTAAATGGGTTGCCGACTGCCAGTAAAACAGAAGGAGAGGAAGAACAAATCACATGATGTGAGCCCATGCAGCGTGTATTAGCAATAGATAAATATTTGAAAAGAAAAAGTAGTCAGTCTGACCTGGGTCCTGGAGAAAATTCTGACCCAAATGAAGGCCCTAGCATTAGTAGTGGTCAGAAGAACGCAAAAAAGGTATACTGGGGACAAACTAAGCCAATTCCCCTACGCCTGGTGTGTGGGGGGAAATGGTGAAAATGGTTTTTGTGACATTTCTGTTTGGTGGTGTGCTGTGAGATTTTTCTAAGGTGAAATATGTGCCGTGGCTCCAAACGGTTGGAAAAACTGGTTTGGACCGTTTAACATTCACTTTGAGCAGTTTCATTGAGCCTTTAATGCATTATTTACAGCTGTTTCCACCACTTTTCAATTACTTTTGAGCTGTTACGATCAGCTAACAGCTTTAACCATTCAACACTACATGACTATAAACTAACCAGCCATGTCAGGAACTCTTTTATTTATTTACTGCCTTT